GACCACAGGGTGAGCACCCCCTGCTGTCCTCACTAACACCTCTTCAATATAATATTAGCATATTATATATTTATATTTAGGCTGGGGTTATGAGATTAAAAAAGGTTTTATCAGTGCTCTCTCTCATTAATCCACTACATTCCTTTTTCTGTTTTTATTTCATTGTTTCTTGTGTATTGTAGACCTATATTCTTTATTGTTTTGAGAATGAGCAAACTCAAGTAAATAGATAGATACATTGGGGGAGAGAGAGAGAGAGAGTTTAATAACACAATAGTCTCACCTATTATAAAAACAGTTGTTGTTGCTTCAGTTTTTCTCCCATCATACTCCAACTTGCATGTCCAAACACCACTATTACACCTAGACACACCTCTGACTTCAGTTTTCTCGCCGTAATGATTTATTTGATTACAATCTGAGTTTTGAGGTGGAATCCATGTTACTTTGGGTTTAAATGGACTAGAGTCCACTTTACATTCCAGAGACAGAATGTCACCAGCCATCACAGCCGGCACTTTGGGGATAGTGACTGAAACAGAGAAGAAAAATGTTGAAAGGTGTAATACGACAACGTTAGAGGAATCTTAAAGTTATAGCCTACACTACAAAATATCAATAATGTCAAAGTTTGTGTGTGTAACTGATTATGAAGAGTGTGTGTGTAACTAGAGTATTCCTGTTCATACTGCCAAATATGCTGTGCAGAATTTAGGTTTATATAATTCTAGTGGTCCTATTACATATGATTGATTAATTAATTGCCTTCATGTGTGTAATATGGAGATATATGATTAGTTTAAATTAATAGATTAAGTTGTCATGCATTATTTATTTATTATTTATTTATTTGCAGTTCAGCTGAATGACAAAGGGGGAAATTTCCTTCTGTGTTCACATCCTGAAACGAGCTCAACAGTGTGCGTAGTTTCATTTCCTCACATTTGAAAAACGTATTATAAATACAAATTAGATTTCTCACCTGTACTTTTGGGAAATTAAATGAGAGCACTTTATTATCTTATCATTTACTCAAACTACACTTCTTCTACTCTTTTTTTCCCTCTTTTTTTCCCCCATACAATGAAAGTCCATGGGGTCCAATGCTGGTTTTGGACCACAGTGACGTTCACTGTATATACAAAAACCGTTCAAAACATTCTTCAAAATATATTCTTTTGTGCTCCGCAGAAGAAAGAGACAGGAGGGTGACAGATTTTTGTGTGAACTATCCCTTTAAGAGATGATGTGACTAAATAAGTCTTTTTTCTACTTTTTGTTTCTCAAACATACACTCTCTCTTACCATGGTACAGTTTGTAGGTATTTACTGTTGTAGCTAATAATACATGTTGTACACAGCGCCAAATTTCAAAATCAGAATGCTGTACTGGTGAGATTTGGAGAGAGAAATCCGACAACAGATCAGCGTGTGTCTTCATTTCTCTCGCTAAAAAAGACAAACATACATGTCCAGTTATAACAAACATGAAAGCCTGATTATTACTGTAGAGTGAAAATGCATGAACTGAAAAACATGTATCTCACCCTTTTGGATCCCACTCTGAGGATTCTTCATGATAGTTGGGATTGTGTCTGACCCGCGGTACCAGTTCACATAAACATTATCTGCATTTCCTTCTACCCTGTATCTCTGTAGGGTAACGGTCCCTCCTACTTGTGCGTAAATTACCACAGGGTTTTCTGATGATAGAACAACAGATTGGACAGAAAAATAATGCTTATACAGACTGCATTTCATACCCTTCGTCATATAACAACTATCAAGATATTTGCAACTTACCTTGCGCTTTAAGAAATCCAACAAACGGCAATATTAGTACCCAACACAACATCATTCTGTCCTCAGAGCAGAGCCAGAGAAGATGGAGGGTGATCTGTAAGACATAGCCATAGAGAAATGCATCACAAAGAGCATAAAAATGCAGAGGAAGGAAGGGGCTTGTGGTGGGCTCAGATTTTTTTTTTTTTTTTTT